CTTAAATTTTTTAACGTATCATATTTTTTTTGTAGTTGTCAATTTCATAAATACCAATTTTTACCCTTAGAATTTTTAAATATCAAATCATTCCAACAACTAGTGACATAGCCAGAATTTATAAGGGAGGTGGGGGTGATATAAAATTTCCTGATTGAGAACTATGGCATTACGGTTTAAGCATGAAGGGAAGCCAGCTTTTAAAAAACACTAATTCTGAATTAATTAATATATTTTATTATCTATGAGATATATAAATTATTAAATCTTTCATTTTTATCGAAAATATATTTTAAAGAAATTAGCCTTACATTGTGTTGAACATCAAAAAATATCTTTGTTAAATCACATTATATTACATATAGTACAAATTTAATTTCTTTATATAACAAAAAAAAAATAGCATTTAACAATTTGACATAAATTAATATAGGTCAACTCAAAATTTACATATAAAAAAATAAATAAATTCCAAATTAAAATAAAGGGGAATATAATGTAAAATGATAAGAATAAGGAAGAAAAGCTGAGTCTAGCAAAGATCTGTTGAGAGATGACTGCCATTGAAACTTTGATAATTCGCTTTAAGAATAACTATAGCCGGTGTCTGTCTGAGAAAGAAGCCTTCCCGCTGATCGCCAGTATACTTGCAGATAGGATATCCTAAATTCTTGAAGAAGGATGATGCATTTATTGATCTCTTTGTTGTCTTACCTTTTTTTTATATTAATTATGGGCTTTATTTCTATTTCTGCTTTTGGCATATCTTCGAAACTATAATATCTAATTTAGCTATTAATTTTTTAAAAATAATATTTGTATTGGTGTCTTTTAACTTATTTATTATTTTAAATTTAGTATCTCTGGGTGCACATTTTAATTTTTCATATAGCTCTATCGTTTACCATATTCAAACGACATACTAAAGTTGCATTGCATCTCAAACTCAAATTCTTAACCTTGGACTGATGAGGAACATAAAATTCTAAAAATTTTCTTAGATTTTTTATAAGGTATAATGTTTTGAAATTTTATATTACAGATTGCTTTAATTTTAGCTTACTTTATTTTCAAGTCTCAGAACTTATAGATACTAATTTTATAAAAATATTATGGGGATGATTTTATGTTTAAATATAAGTTCAATTCGATTCGTTAAATTTATTTTTGTTTCTAGTAATTTTGTTTAAATTTAAGAAAAGAGACTTCTTTTTCTATTTAAACCTTATATATGATAAAACACTAATAATATTATTTTGAATTAATATGTCATAAACATTAAATGGATTAATATTTTATTCAATAGTCAATATATGATGGTATAATGCATCATTTATTTGTATTCAATCTATTCATATGCGTAGTCAGGATATTAATAGGGGGGGGGAATTAAATAATTACTGGGGGCTTCGCCCCTAGACCCCTTTTGGGCGGGCCTTGCCCGTTTTTCTCCGGCCTTCGGCCGGTTACTTTAGTCTATATATAATCATAAAATATTTTTACAAATTTTAATAAAAATAATAAGCCTGGAACAAATATGAAATATATTTTTATTAGTTTATATAAAATAAAAATATAATAAATTACTTGTATTGTATATACCTTAATATAAAAGTATGGTAATAATTTATTCCAAACAATTATAAGAATTTATTTATAAAAAGTAAGTAAACATATAGTTGATTTTAATCTATTATATAGAATTAGTTATAATATACTATGTAAAATTCCACTTTTACAGACATATTTGACAGTTACAGAATATATAACAGTTAATAATTTAACAAATTTTACTAATCAATGCTCTTGATATATAGCAACAATTTGCATTCAATTATTTAACGCCATCTATTTATTTTAAGTAAAAATGTTATTTAAATTTAATCTTCATATTATTCATCCCACAATATCTTTAAAAGATAATTTCTGATGTCCTTACCAATATTTTACAGTTTTATGTAAAATATATAATTCGCTATATTGGTAAAAATTACTTGATTGTCATTTGATAATTAGATATATTGTAAATCTACGACATATAATATTCCACTGTTTATATTATGCTATAATATTTTTTTAATTTATGATTTAATTTTATCAATAGTTTTAAAATTATATTTTACTTTTATTAAGATAAATAAATTAAAATTACTCACTTTATAAAAAATTACATTTGATATATTATATTATAGTTATTTAATGGATCTATTATTAACAATGGCGTACGCAGCGGATGAGGGGGGGGGCAGGGGGACAAATCCCCCCCCCCCCAAAGCCAAAAAATGCAGATGCCGGATATATTTTTCAAAAATATTAATGTTTATATTAATTTATATTTGTTAATATTTATTCATATCTCATATTAAATATATATTTAATTACATTTATTTATCACACATCTTTAAGTTATTTATCAATTAATTTCGATTTCAAGTTTTTATTGGCGTAATATTTACCTATTATTTTCAAATTTCTAGTGGCGTAATATTTATCTACCATTTCCATATTTCTAGTCAAATAATATTTTTTCTGGAACTCCTTGTCCAACAGGGAGAAAGAAAGTGCGAGCTTGTCCAACGAGATGGAGTCTCCGCCATCAATAACAGCTTTTATATAGTTAGAAGGACCGATTATTAATGCTATTTCTGAAATATCACAATGGCCTGAAAGAAATATTTCCTCAGAAGCAAGAAAATTATTGGATTCAATACTTATTTCAATTTTTTTTCTCATTAGAATGTATTATTTAGGTATACAACTATTTTATGTAATACTTTTCAAAAACATGACATTGACTTGATTAAGAAGATGAGAATAGCGGAGAGCATTTTATTAGAGCTGATAAAAATTTCAATTTTATATGTTATCGTTGAGTCAAAAGGAGAGCTATATGTGTTTAATATTTGTTTCACTCGATTTGCAGCAAGGCAAGCTCATCGTCAAAACATTTATATAAGATCAGTAGAAAAGTATTATAAAATTATAATCCAAATAAATGAATGGCTTTAATTCATCATGCAGCACTTACCAATCTGCAGATATTACTTCCAAAAAAGCCTTCCCAATCTTTTTCAGATGGTGATAGAAAAAAAATAATATTTGTTTGATGCCTTATTAGCTGAATAACTATGTTTAAAAGATTAACTAAAATTTAGTCCGAAAAAATGCTATGGATGCTTTGTATAATTTCAAACACATTTTAGATTTTATTCCCAATGTATTAAAATGATTATATATATTAGCAACTCTTCCCATTAGTAAACTATGAGAGAACATTCTCTTTTTTAAGAAGAATAACAGAGCCCTGCAGAAATATAATTTGCAGGGCACGGCCTGATTTTTTTTCAATATTTTTTGGGCCCGGCCCGGGGTTTTTTTTAAAGAAATTATATTATTTTTGATTTTTATAGCTAATTTCAAATATTTGGTTTTAAAATATGTAGCCGAGCCCGGATAATTTTTTTAAAAAAAAATAAGGCCCGGCACGGGTGTATTTAAAAAATTAAAATACGGTCCGACCCGGGAACCGGGCCTGCAGTTCTCTGAAAACATACCTAAGAAGTACAACTTCTGAAAGTGGATTGAATGGTTTGGATCTTTTAAATATTTATAAGCATTTGACGCCAAGCAAGGATGAGTAATTGAAAAATTAGCTCAATTCCAACGAAGATTGGAATTTACACTGTAAATATAATAAAAAATACAATTATTCCTAAAAATTTTTTGCGTATTAATATTTATATTTCCAACATTAAAAATTTTTACTTTATATATAAATTTTAAAGGCTCAAAAAATGTAAATTTCTATTTTGGGTCATTTAAGTGATTCATATGGTGGTTATATTCACTTTATATTTTTTAATTCACATTTATTTTATAGTTTTTTATGTGCCGGTTTATATATATAATTTTTTTATAATTCATATAATTTAAAATTATGTATTAGAAAAAGTTATTAGTCCTAATAAATTTATGCTTGATATTTTTAAATAACAATAATATTTCTTAAAAAAATTATGATGAATAGTTTTATAAAAAAATATCAACTTTACATTCTTTCTTTTAAATTATTATTTAAGATATCATACATATTTGAGGGTCAGGGAGTGGGGGTAGGACTAAGGGGGATATTTTTTATTAGCTAAAAATGATATTTACAAAAAGTGATAAATTTCTGAAGGGGAGAAAAATGTACGTTTGCCCCCCCTGGCTACGCCTATGAATCTATTCTATTATATTGGTATAATGTAATTTATATTTAAAATTTTATAAAAATATATGTTTCCTGTAACAATCGGTCAATATACTTGTTAGTCATTTTCTCACCAAAAAATATTGTTAATAAGGTAATATTTATATAGCGTGTCATTTAATACTAGAAACTGGACATGAATGTGTCCTTTTCTCATAAAACAATTACACAATTGAATCATATCAAGATAAATATACATGAAATTATGATTCACCTGAAAGAAATTAACCTTGAATGACATTATCTAAATATCTTATTTATAAATATAAATTTTTAATCTTAATATGATCATTTTTAAACACAATAGAGAAGGTAATAAGTTTTGAAAGTTATAAAGAAAATTAAGAATAAAATCTTAAATAATATACATATTAAAAAGACAAAAGAAAAAATATATATATATATATTACAAAAAATCTAAATTAAATTTAAAAAAAAAAAAATATTTTTTAGATGTAATATACAAAATATATTAATTAAAAGAGGTATATAACAACAAAATCAACGAAAACATATTTATATTGTATTGAATTTAATACTGGCTTAATCTTTACATCCTTTTTTAATTAAATTTTGAGCTCATAAAATTTAGTGCCCGAAATAACATCCTAATATCAAATTTCAAGTAAAAATTATATTTGTCTATATATATATCTAAATATTTATGCATTCTAAAACTATAATCAGAATATTGTCTAATCATTGTCGATTTCATAAATTTGTAGGTCATGATATAGCCAAAAATAAGGCGTGACTGACATTCATTGTTAAAATGTACCATATGGTTAAAATAAATTCATGACACAGATTCAGGTGACTTTTGATATGATACATAATATTATTGAATATCTGTATAATATTCCATGTAATATAATGTAATTTAATTTGGAACAATATAAGGCCAAATGTTTATATGATTTTGAGGCGCAGCATCCAGGTGAGTTAACATCCAAATCTGGTGAAATTCTTACTATAATAAGACAAGTAATCTTTTATTATTTTTAATTTTAGATTTATATAAGAATAAAATTTAATATTTTATTTATTTTTTATAATTTATGGTGATAAACTGTCAGTATTTATATCACATTTGTATCATGATTATAAAAATAATTGCTTTACAATACAATAAATATTTATTTGTTGTCATTGTAAGTGTATCCAAAACTTTCCTGAGCAAGTATGACTTTTATGTGTCATATTTTATTGACAGGATTTTAAGATTTCTTATTACATGCTATTGATTGGGCTATACTTTTATGTATAAATTTGGTTTAAAAATTAAATTAAAAAAAATATCATATTAATTATTTAAAAAAAATGTATTAATTTTTATTTTTTAAATATTTTGTAAAGATTTTATAAATAAGAAATCTCCAATATAACATGGATGGGCCAGGCTGGGTAACATCTGAAAAAATTTCATTTAGGCCAGGGTGGGAAAAAAAATTTACAGGCTGGGCATAAAATTATTGAGCTGGATTATAAATAAATGCTGATATTATTTAAAACCTATAATTCATAAAAATACATTTTTTAATTTAACCACTCTTCAATATTATAAATAGTTACTTATTTAGGTGTTTACTACTTTTGCAGGCCCTGAGATTTTGGTAATAGATGCCTAAACCTTTCTGCCATATATGAGCAAAAACACTTGGGTAATTTTTTTTGGATATAATATTTGGCCAGCTGTTACTAAAATTTGACCATTTAATATTTGTTAGGCTTTGTATTTAAATTAACTGGACAGGATCAGTTTGGCTGTAAATATAGGTGGGAAAAAACGAAATTCCAAAAGCACTAGGTTAGGCTAAAAAATTTACCATTTATACCTCTAATTTGTATTCATTTGAGAAGTAGTTTAGGAAGTATAGAATCTTTTTTTTTATAAATTTTTACAACCCCCTTGGCTAAACATATTTATTTAATACAGTTTTATAACATTCAAAAAATTTAATTAAAGGTATTGCAATCATTAGCAACAATTTTTTTAAAATAATTTAAATTATTTCTATTTCTTTATCCAAGTAAATAGTAGCATCAAATATCAATATAATCTGGTTCAGAATGATTTGAAACATTGCATTTTAATATAATACTATAATATAGTCAATGAAATAGAGGCCTAGCCAATTGCCCAAAAAATATTATTGTTATATATATTATATTTTTCTACCTTTTTTTGGTTGATTGGATATCAAAATTATACTCTAAATTTAAAAAAATCAGGATGATAAATATTTTATAGTGAAGAATGAAATAATCTTATAGAGCTGAAATATCTTAAATGTAATGTATTACCATTTATAAAGAATTGGTCCAGGCATGACCAGGCCCTAAATCTATTTATTTTCCTTATGCCTCTAAATTAATTTTAAATTATATGCAAGTTCATACTTGCCATCACCACTCAATTTTAATGTCGACAAAACAATCCTCTTCAAAGATATATTTATATGCTAAAAGGAAGATTAGAATTTTGAATAATTTTTATTTGCCTCTATTTGGAAAATAAATTCTGGCATTCTTCAAAAAAAGTAATAGGTTCTAGAAGAAACGGAATGTAACAATTCATGTATTTGATTTATTTTATACATGCCCAACATTAAGATAGCTAGTTTTAATACTTTTCACGTTTCTACTACATTTACTGATAGATAATTTAGCATCTCTAATGATTATCCGAATCAATCATAATTATTTCGGCCAGATTTGCCAAATATGAAAAATAAGCTGGAAGCTGAGAATTATATTACCGAAAAAGTGCAAATTAAATTTCTAGCAAAAAAATTCCCAAGTTTGGTGGCATTACAAAGAATGCCAAAATAAACGATAGGATTGGGCCCCTTCTATTCTGGCACTATCTTAAGCCCTCGTCTTGGCTCACTTCTTTAACGGCATTCTAAAACTGTGTAATGTTAAAAGATATAGAATTCTCACATATTTTTTAAATATTGCAGTCATTATAAAGAGCAATATAATCCATGAATACCATAATAATAACCTGATTTATACTACAGATCCTCAACACTGAAACGTCAATCACGAAGCCTTCATCCCATATTCATATTCTGGGCTGGAGCCGATGTTGGAATTCTGCATATTTACAAAAATTATGTATTAAAATAACTGTTTGATATTTAAATTTGTATCATAAAAAAAATCATAAAAATATCAAGCAGAGAAAATTTAGTGTTATAATCTATAGCAATATTTTAGACAGGATGTCAGCCATGGTTTAAAAATAATATTTTTTATTTATTTCCTCAATAAAGCTGGAGCCATTTTGTTTTTATTACACCTTAATTTTAGTTTTTATATGATCACTTAGTCAGACTTTGAAAATTTTTACCTATGAGTAAAATAATATATCAATAAAAATACTTTTGATTTAAAAATGGATATTAACGTATTTTTTGTTTTAAAATTAAATAATAATAATACAATTTAGATAATTTAATTATATTTTATGTTTAACATCCAAAAATAAAATTGAATCTATCTTACTGATCTGATAAGTATCTTGCCAGATAAAATATTAAATCACATGGTCTTCTTAAAAGTAAATAACGATTAATTACATTTATTTATATTTAATTACAATAATTGTAAAAAAAAGTTACTTTTTTTTTATATTCAATCTGAGCGGTACATCTAAACATTATTGAAGTGTATGTTTATTTGATAGATAAATCAGAGACTTGTATGAGTCTAAATTTGTCCCTTTACTCGCCCCACGCACACCAATCGGAATTAAAATCCGGTTCATCCTGAAGTTCTCGACGGTTGGGCCAATCAGAGCCCTCTAGAGTCTAGATCCCCCTAAGGCGCCAAAACCTCCCAAAATAAAAATGAGTCAATTATAAAATGGATGCTGACTATATGACTAAGAAAGTCCTGATGTAACCATAGAGATTTTGATGACGCAATTGACTCGTACCACCGCGCGCCGCGCCGAAGGGGCCTCTGGGCCCAACTTGGTTTGTGTAGGTATCTGAGATAGATTCTTGCCTTTATTTTTCATAGGAATATCCACCCAAATAGAATGCTTTTGGAATAATCGCTTATCATAAGAATAGTAATAAGACGTCTTGGTTATTTCATTCCTCGTAACTAATGGTGGAAGAAAAGGGCAAAATGATAGGTCTTATATAACTATTTCTAAATTCTGAACTTGTTCTATGCTAAGGGGGGGGGCGGAAGCATTATTATTGCCATAATTAGAGGTCTACAGGTCCACTTATTGTAGACCTTTGACTAATTAGATTTGTATAAAAATAATTTCTTCCAATAACTTTGAATTATAACCGTTTTGAAAAAATTATTAACTTGTACTTATTTTTCAAATTATTCTAAATAGTAATATATTTCTTATAGTGCGCACATGAGCGTTTCAAACGCTTCGTTGCAAGCGCAAACAAGGCATTTCAAATGGCCTAGTGCAAATTTGTAAAATTAACGTTTGTCGTTAGCAACCATTTAAAAAAACGCGAATAGGTTTGCTTCATTACTTTTTTTTTATTCTTCGTTCTGTAATATTATATAAAATGTATAATATAAATAACTTACTTATTATCCTAATAATGGAATATTTCGAAATTAAAGAAATAAGAAGGCAGACGATAATATAATTTTTTAAAGAGAAATCTTTTTTTTTAGAATTTATTTAAAATTTTGAATCGACGATATGAATAAAAAAGGCAACCTCAATTTAAACAAGGGATGCGTTACGTTTTTTCCTCATTAAAAAATTACGACAAAACGTAAATGCTCAATTTATGCGCACTATTAGTCCTGAAGTCTTATTTGGAATTTTAATTCAGTTTACTACAATTTTTATTTAATTAACTTGAATTTTTTTTTTTATAAATATAAATTTATTCATCATATAAATCCTAATAATAAAAAAAATACTTTTATATGATTAATCAAAATTCCTGGCTAAACCTCCTTTATATCATCAAATCATATTTTTTTTAAATTTATCGTTTGGAAAGGAAACCCCATTAGAAGATAATTGTATATTTTTAAATCTTTTAAAAAAAATTAAAATAATATATATATATATCAGAGACCAGCAGAGGTACCATTTGTACGGCCGGGCTCGGACCGGATTTTAAATTTTTTTCGGCCCGGCCCGGATTTTTTTAAAATATATTTTATTAATTTTTGATTTTTATAGCTAATAATGGCGATTTCAATTATTCGGTTTTAAAATATACGCCGGCCCGGTTTTTTAGGTCCTGCCCGGACTTAGGGCCGGACCTGTAGGTCTCGGATATATATATTTTTAAATAATAAAACGGTTTCTTACCAGTTTTTCTCGGATATTTATTTTCGTATAAAATATCCTAAAACCCAATGAAATTATTAACTAAAATATAAAATTATATTTTGACACATAAATTTAACGAATGAAAAATAAATTTTAAAAATATTTTTTCCCGATTTTTTTTTAAAAAAAAACATCATTTTATATTTTTGTCACAAAATGAAAAAGGAAGGGAGAACAACGGAAATGATTATGAATTATTTGCATAAATTATCTCTGGTTAATTTAGTGTGCCACTGAATCATTTACCTGATTCCCTTCCCGTTTCATATATATATTTATCATTATTTTTTTAAAAAATAATTAAAAGTTTGATTAAAGCTAATTTTGATCGGAATTTTGTTTTCTAATTCTCGATTATATTACTCTTATATCAATCTACCAGTTTTTTAGGACTATTTTCCATTCATTTTATTCAAAAAAAAAATTAAAAACCAAATCGATTAACTCTAAATAAGAATGTATTATTATTTCACGAATTCCAAGGATATCGGGGAAGGATGGTGGGAAGCAAGGAACAAGTACGGCAAGTGTGGCCTGATACCTCAGTCATATCTAGAAGTAAAAAAAATAATATTTTTATTCGGTAAAATGGAAGAAGGAAATTAAAGATTGAAAGAATGAAAGAAAACTAAGGAATAATATTAATTTGCTTTCCGGCTCATGTAGAATATTAAAAAAATAAAAATTTACGAATCTCAATTTCTTTTAGGTCACGTGAATTTGACTCCACCATTTTGGATTTTTTAGTGGTCCCTATATTGGACGTATATTTGTATCGAGATTTTTGATCATACCTTTTCGAGATATTTAAAGAAACAAAATGGGGGAATATTAGAGAATGATTTGTACTCATTTTCAACTTGATTTGTGCCATTCATTACCCGTTTCCCGGAATTTTAAAGTCTTGGCGCCATAAAATAAAAAATTAAAATTTTTTGAACTTATAACGATATTTTATCTTCCTAAATGACGCTTCGAAATAATTTTTTGTCCCAATTATTTATTTCCCGAATCCAAATTTTAAATTTAAATTATAGCGCCAAGTTACCCCCTCCCCCAACCCTCCAACCGCCATATTGTAATTTTTGGCATTTTTCAAATTTTCAAAACTTGATCCATTTGTACCGTTATCATTTTTTGGGATATTCGCTTTCAAAGTTTTTGGCGGTCTCTTCTCTTCTCTTCTCTTCTCTTCTCTTCTCTTCTCTTCTCTTCTCTTCTCTTCTCTTCTCTTCTCTTCTCTTCTCTTCTCTTCTCTTCTCTTCTCTTCTCTTCTCTTCTCTTCTCTTCTCTTCTCTTCTCTTCTCTTCTCTTCTCTTCTCTTCTCTTCTCTTCTCTTCTCTTCTAATAAAAAGTAAATCAATAGAAAATCCAAAAGTGGGGATGGGGAATGGGTTGGCAACTTCACTGACCTATTTAATACAATAAATATGATCGATCAGCTGTTTCGACAATTAATACATCCGTTTAATAAAAAAAATTATTTTATCAATAATCGAACCTACATTATATTATTAAAATAAGCCTCTTTAAGTTTTTTAAATGTCTTGTGCAAATTACTTCTCATCAACGTTGTTTGCAATTTTAATTCTATATAGATGTATATATAGATTAATCGAATATATATATTGTGTATATACGCCTAAATCATTTTTTTCCGCTTGCCTTAGGTAGTCTACGAAAGTCCGCCGCTTCAACCGCCGCCACCTTTACCCTCCATATATTCTAACCTTGCCGAAATTGTAAGAAAATGTTGATGCGAAAAATAATAATTATCTTTTAAACAGAATTTTTCGTTTTAAATTATTTTTTTTTTAAAAAAAAACTGTTTTATTTCGTTTTCGTTTTAAATTATTTTTTTTTAAAAAAAAACTGTTTTATTTTGTTTTTGTTTTAAATTATTTTTTTTTTAAAAAAAAACTGTTTTATTTCGTTTTTGTTTTTAAATTATTTATTTTTTTTAAAAAAAACTGTTTTATTTCGTTTTCGTTTTAAATTATTTTTTTTTAAAAAAAAACTGTTTTATTTTGTTTTTGTTTTAAATTATTTTTTTTTAAAAAAAAACTGTTTTATTTCGTTTTTGTTTTTAAATTATTTATTTTTTTTAAAAAAAACTGTTTTATTTCGTTTTCGTTTTAAATTATTTTTTTTTAAAAAAAAAACTGTTTTATTTTGTTTTTGTTTTAAATTATTTTTTTTTAAAAAAAAACTGTTTTATTTCGTTTTTGTTTTTAAATTATTTATTTTTTTTTAAAAAAAACTGTTTTATTTCGTTTTCGTTTTAAATTATTTTTTTTTAAAAAAAAACTGTTTTATTTTGTTTTTGTTTTAAATTATTTTTTTTTTAAAAAAAAACTGTTTTATTTCGTTTTTGTTTTTAAATTATTTATTTTTTTTAAAAAAAACTGTTTTATTTCGTTTTCGTTTTAAATTATTTTTTTTTAAAAAAAAACTGTTTTATTTTGTTTTTGTTTTAAATTATTTTTTTTTAAAAAAAAAACCGTTTTATTTCGTTTTTGTTTTTAAATTATTTATTTTTTTTAAAAAAAAACTGTTTTATTTCGTTTTTGTTTTTAAATTATTTTTTTTTAAAAAAAAAACCGTTTTATTTCGTTTTTGTTTTAAATTATTTTTTTTTAAAAAAAAACTGTTTTATTTCGTTTTTGTTTTTAAATTATTTTTTTTTTAAAAAAAAACCGTTTTATTTCGTTTTTGTTTTTAAATTATTTATTTTTTTTAAAAAAAACTGTTTTATTTCGTTTTCGTTTTAAATTATTTTTTTTTAAAAAAAAAACTGTTTTATTTTGTTTTTGTTTTAAATTATTTTTTTTTAAAAAAAAACTGTTTTATTTCGTTTTTGTTTTTAAATTATTTATTTTTTTTAAAAAAAACTGTTTTATTTCGTTTTCGTTTTAAATTATTTTTTTTTAAAAAAAAACTGTTTTATTTTGTTTTTGTTTTAAATTATTTTTTTTTAAAAAAAAACTGTTTTATTTCGTTTTTGTTTTTAAATTATTTATTTTTTTTAAAAAAAACTGTTTTATTTCGTTTTCGTTTTAAATTATTTTTTTTTAAAAAAAAAACTGTTTTATTTTGTTTTTGTTTTAAATTATTTTTTTTTAAAAAAAAACTGTTTTATTTCGTTTTTGTTTTTAAATTATTTATTTTTTTTAAAAAAAACTGTTTTATTTCGTTTTTGTTTTTAAATTATTTATTTTTTTAAAAAAAAACTGTTTTATTTCGTTTTCGTTTTAAATTATTTTTTTTTAAAAAAAAAACTGTTTTATTTTGTTTTTGTTTTAAATTATTTTTTTTTAAAAAAAAACTGTTTTATTTCGTTTTTGTTTTTAAATTATTTATTTTTTTTAAAAAAAAACTGTTTTATTTCGTTTTTGTTTTTAATATATTTTTTTTTTTAAAAAAAACTGTTTAATTTCGTTTTTGTTTTAAATTATTATCGTGATCTAATTAAAAATTATATTATTTTAGACATATTTATTTTTAAAAAAATGATAAATAAAAATTTTGATAGGTATCTTTCGGTAGGAGACTCACATTATTATATTGAGTTGAATATTTTGCCTAGAGGTGTACAACAACTCCGTTTGAGCCGATTTTCTAAAACGACTAACTCAGTATATTATCCAGGAAAAATATAGACCTTGAAGACATAATGCTTTGGTCAGCGAAATCTCAAGACTTGGGAAATATTCTGACCAAAATATTGAGTTAGCTTGTTTTTTAAAAATCGGACTCAAATGAACTTTTTCGCATCATTACGTGCATCTATTCATCTCGTATACTTTTTAGCATGATTCTATAATTTAACTTTACCATAACATAAGTTATGTAGATATAATTACGATGGTCAGAAATATTTTTCTTTATAAATCGCATACTTATTTAATCCATTTACATAATAAGTAACAAACAAATGTATTATGAAATCTGACATAAATTTTTTTGGAAATTAAGACGCCATTTTGCCGGATCGGATAGCAAAATTTTATAATATCGGCAGATAACCGATATTTTAAAAAGTGCCAAATAGATATAAAATATCTCTAAATCTCTAGTTTAGGCTAAGGATGAGATTTGGCTAAAGAATAGACTGAGACCCAGACTACTAATTTTAATAGGGGCTTGGCTAATAGTATAGATTCTGATGTCGACAATAAAAATGGGAATAAACAATATTATAGAGGCTCCTTGCATATTATTTTTAAGAATATATATATTTTCTCTTATATTTATAGTTCGGGGCTTCTAATCAAGCCCCGCCCATACCTGCCCCGGCCCATCGTAACATGATTAATAACGTACAGGGTAATAATTATCCGGGGACATCTGCCACCGATCTTATTAGTAAAGACAACATTTTGGGGCAACCAAATGCGAATACCTTCCAATCGATGCCGCTCACCGCGCACGCCGAACTCGTGCAACAAGATTGGGACAGCGATTGGGACGACGACGAGGAGGACGATGTAAGAGGGGAGAAGAGGAAATGACAGCAAGATAAGGAAGGAAGGAAGAAATGCTTCCACGAAGTTCTGTTAGCCCTTAATTATTTAGACGTTGTATAAGAGTCCTAGAATGTCTCGATGAGCGCAGTTATTTAGCAAATGCTTAGGAAATTAGAATTGGACAGATGACGAGAATGCGCGGCAACTTAAAAAGTGGCTTGTTATATTAGTTTTTAAAAATGGAATTTTTTTTAATCGCCGAGTAAGTAATTGATAATAACCATATGGGCGATATAATGTAAAAGGAAAAAAAAATAAAATTAATGTTTTTATTTTTCCGCGAAATGCAAGTTAGTTGTATTGCCGTCGTTTCTTTTGCTTCCTCGAACGGTGTTCATTATTTTTCGAAGATATTCAATTAGATCATTTTCTTGCACTATCGATCTTAACGATAAATTTTTTCCAGGTCTTAATGAGATTATAGCCTAAATTTATGCGCATGCGTCTAAAACCACGAGAAGCAATGCAGAGAAGGAGGTAAAGGTCGAAAGTTTTACCTCTAATTTCCGATAACCATTTTGTTTGGCGCGCTAAATCAACATTAGGGTATAAGTGTTGTCTTTAAAAAAAATAGTCAAGGCGAATTAAAGGATATTTTCTAAGGTTTATAATTGAAGGACGGGTTTTGAAAGGAACGAATAAAGGATGTTTAAATTATATATATTTTTTAAAGTACGCCCTTCCCGCGTCGCAAGCGGATGCTACATCGACTAACGGTTACAAAATGAAACCGGCGCAAAGTGAAACCGGGGTGGGAACGCTCAAAAGAAATTTTAACAGGTTCCTTTTCATGAGATAAAATTTCAAGCGTTTTCTATTTCAAATATTGTATTTTAAAAAGTTTATTATTTGCCCCATAAAAAAAACGAAAAATAGTTTTTATCACCCATTTTGTTTGTAAATTTATTTGGGAAAATGCCATTTCAATTTCAAACAACAGTTTTCTTCGGGTAAAAACACAACGCAAAATGCCTGAGTTCAATTTTGTATTACTATTATGTATAATGTTAAACGGAGATGTGTGTAATAACATAAAATTGACTAAAATTTATAGGGTAGGTCATTATTTGTTTTTTATAATGTAGGATTATAAAGTAAAGTTTTTTATACAAAGTCCCACAATTTATTTTCTTTTTACTACAAAAATATTAATATTTAGCTTAATAATTGCAAAATCTAAATAATTACCCGCTTTAAATTTAATCAATATTAAATTAAAACTAATTTTTATAGGAGTTTCTTATGAAAAACATAAAATTAATTTCAGCTCAGCATGTTTACCATTTAATTTAGGTTACAACTTGTAGGGATTAACTTGAGTTCGATCAGACCAGATATAAATGTTTGGTAGGTAAACATAAGGTTTAGTAAATTAAGTCAGATAAAATTCCAATTTTAAAGTAAAATAAAACTTTATTTATTATATTAAAAGTCTAAAATCTGAAAAGTTATTTATATTATTGATCATATATATATATGTAATTTTGTTTTTCTTGTTAATATCAAGGTAAATTGTATATAAAATTAAATCATTCAATTATAACAAATTAAAAATAATATAAAATAAACAATTTAAAATGTTAATATTATAAAATTGCGAACTATGTTACGACACAACTTATAATCAAAATGTAGTAATAAATAATGAATATAATAAAATCTTTTTAATATAAATCTATTAAATTTACAATGATTTTAATCGTGATTTTTATTTTAAAAAAAATCATTTATTTTATTAATTACTAAATTAATCAATTGCATTAAAATCATGCCAACTCTACAATTTAGTTACCCGTGTTACCCGCTAACGCATATCGCCTGTATTTAAAATTTATTATAACGTTTTAAATGGATATAAAAATTGAATCAAAATAATTATAATTTGAGAAGAACCGGATACGTATTTCCAATTCCTTTGACACTATTTTATCCGATCCCTATAGCCCCAATATCCGATACATACCGAAATATGTTATATATATATAATTAAACAAATTCGTATCTTATTAAGGTTCTCTATATTCAAGACGGGCGTAGAACCTTACATCATGGGCCAATCCAAAATGAAAGATATCGACTTGGCTAATAACCAATATCCAATAGAAATCATAGTATTGTTCTTTTTAAAGATCTTTATTATAAAACATAATTTTAAAAAAATATATGAATTTTATTTTGAGCTGGATTAATAGGAATTCCATACCATGATGGTATGGCGACTGTTTGGCGAAAACCTTACAAATTCTAATTTTTAAGCCCAACTAGAAATTACTTTAAATGAGGATAAAGGAAGCAAAAATCATGATCCTCTTTGTCCTTATTACAGATAAATTATCATTTTATTTCGATAAAGAGAACAGTTTGAAAACGTAATTATCTAGTATGAAATACTTTTTAGGCACACCTCCCACCTCCCGGCCCTAATTTTTAAAATGTTAATTCCCGGGCTTCCCAAGCCGAATTTCTGGACTCCTGCCCTAGCACGATCTTATAAATATCGAATCACAGGAAATAGAATACTAAGAAAAATTAAATGATATATTATTAGAACGGTCTGCGCGTCTCTAAACAAAATCTCCAGGTTTGCCTAATATTTTTTTGACTAAAATATTAGGGTTAGCCGTTTTCTAAAAAAAACGGGCCGTTATAGCTGTCCTTTTATAACTCGGTAGCGGTAGCGGAAGCTAGCTAATTTATCAAATGATAGGGGCTGGCCCTAATTCTTTTTAAAAAAAGGAGCGTTAACAACCTCCGCTATTTTTGTATGATAAAACTTTTTAAAAACAAAAACTAAGGCTCGCCAGAATAAATTATTTATTTGTGCAAATATTTCTTGTATTTGAACGAGCTAATAATCTATCTCTAAAGAAAAATCACGTGACAATCCTTCTAGGAGCTTCATTTTTAATCAATTCCAACCCCCCCCCCCCTCCAGTTATTTTTTTTATCTTAAATTTGAATCACAAAAAAAAAAACTAAAGCAATCTTCGAACAACACTTGCTCCTTCATGCCCATATCTCCGGAGAAAGTCTACACCTGTACCATTAGCTCGCCCCAGAAGGAGTCAAAACTTAAAGGCTTAAAAAGCTTCATAGCTTATCAGATGACCTGCTCGGTAATAATGTCAAAAAACAATAAGATAATTAGAATATATTTTAGGAGTTTGAAACCTCGGTTAATCCCGGAAATAAAGGGGAAGGGTAGTTCTGTTTCCGGTTTCTATCAATTTGAAAAGGCTGTTCCGTTCGGTTTTTAGATTTTAGCCGATTTCGAACTCCGAATAATTTTTAATATCGAATTTTTCGAACTGAATACGAATAACACACTTTTTTTGAATTGAAAAGAAACTATCCTTAATACAACTTTAATTGAATTATTATTATCTGCCTACTCGGGATAAATTAGAACGGGGCCATTTAAATCATTCTGTACTAATAAAGAGTAAATATGATATGAATGAATAGGGCATTAATTGCTAAAAGATGGATTGGGAGAGGGAGGTTGGTTATAAAATTTATATATTAAAAATAATCGAATTTCATAGGAGTAAATTTTCGATCGGCACAACAATTAGGTTTAAAATAAACAATTTTTGGGAGGTTTCAAGAAGTAGGAGATCTATTTTATAGAAATGTCAGGTCTGTGTTAAAAGAAATTAAATTGTAAGAATAACATTTTTAGGGTTAGCTTATATTCGAAAAAAAATTGAAGGGTAAACCGGTATGAATATCTTGAAGGAAGAAAGAAGGAAAGAAAATGGTGAACAAAGAAATGTATAAATATTTATTTATTTTCCTGCATTTAACACACTATCAGAATACGGGAATAAGGATAAGCAGAAGGTATAAACACTTCGATTGGCTGCACGAAAGACTCCAAGAAAAATTTACTCTTATAGCTATCCCACCTCTACCGGGCAAACAAGTCACAGGTTTTAATATTATAATTGGCTCGGTATTATGTGACATATCTTTTTGCTGAATTAAAGTGTTATATATTCATTTTTATATCCACCACACACTACCACATTTGGTAAAATCTCTATTTCATTTAAAAACATGGTTTCCCAAATCAGTAAAGCAGTGAAAACTTCAGGGAAGGGTTTTTCTTCCGACAAGGGGCTTGATAATTCTAATAGCCAATTACATTAGCTTTTATGGAAGTCAAAAAAATAAGAAGAAAGTAGACAAGACCGGGGACCTTATGCATATTGCATTTAAAAATATTATATAAATGATATTCAGCAGCTTCTTGTGAGGCCATTCCCTACATTTAATAGGGTTTTATCCAGCATCAGAGAATAGATGAAAAATAACGAAAACAAAACTTAGTTCTAGCATATGAAAAAAAATACCCCAAAATGTGGCTTTTAAAATTCATTTATTATTAAAATTTAAGAATAAAAATTCGTCATATTATATATTTTAGTTTTATTTTGTATATTTATTAATTATTTGCATTTAAATTTTTTTAATATAAATGGCAAAAATTTTCTATGAGTGTCTGGTTTTATTCCCACCCCCCAACCCAACTGAGAATATCTGACCACGGGCCTGATATGATAATTTGAAACCTTAATAGAGAACATATTATTCTTGTATTTTAATAGATCACGATGTAAAATATTCGAAATTATATTTTGAAATTTTTATTGATATGGAATAATACATTACTGAAGAATTGATTTACCGAAAAAATATTTAAAAACGAACATGGAACATTATAATACTATACCAAACCTATAACGTATCAATGGTTAAAATAGTTAAATTTTTAACAACGAAAGTTAATAAATTTAGGATAGAGTAATTTTTTTAAAAATTAGATAAAAATAAAATATGTAATAATTTTGACGAAAAAAAGGATCATTTTCAGATGTGTTATTTTTTTAAGGTCGGTACGAGGAAGAATTCATAGAACACAGGATGAACAGGCTGCAAATGTGGGTAAATAGGATTTGTCGGCATCCCATCCTGTCTCAATGTCAAGTATGGCTGCATTTCGTATCCTGCACCGATATGAAAGTAATAATCATCACAATTATGATAAATGGGTTAACTATAATGAAAGAAATAAGGTAAAAATATCATCTTATAAAAATAAGTTCAAATACAATCTTCTTTATATATATATATATATATTCTACGAACAAAACGAAATAGAACCAAAACCAAGGAATGCTCATAACCATAAAATAAAAAATGATATTCTTATTCTCCCAATGATGTTTAAAGTTATGCGTGTTGAGTGTACATATAAAATGGGCTTTTTTTTGAATTCGAATAAATTTATCATTGCCTATTAGAAAATGTTGTTACGAAACTTTAAAATGTTAATTTTAACATTTCTCTCCCGATATAAAATAAAAATTACCTGGTTATGAGCAATTTTTGGGTTTAGACATTATTTAACGAAACCAATTTAATTTGGTTTATTCAATACGATGAGTTGATATCATATTAAAAACTCTTATCTTCAGTGACCTCAGGACCCTTTGATGATATGTTATGTTACTTGTAATTGTTATAATTTATTTCACAATCTTTTATAAAAATTTATAAAAATATGCCTCTAAGCAATGGAAGGATGGCAAAAGGAAAGCCGAGAAAGATCCACTTATTGGGGCCGAACTATTTAACACCATCAAAGTTCCTGGTCAAACATTAAACCTAGATTCTATGTATTTTTACTATTTTTTTCCCTAATGCACCTAAGGCTTGGAAAACTTTCGAATCTATTAGAAAAACGCTAAATAAACCTTTTTTTCTGCAAAATTTAAGCAGAACATAGAAGACTTAAGGCATAATTATTTAAGACTTGTAATATATTATTTTAAAGATATAAATTTTAAGATAGATACTATATTATTATTTTAACGTTAAAAAAATATATCAAAAAGCGAACAACAGATACAAAAATTTACGAAATTTATAAAAAAATTGGATTACACCGTGACCACTCTTATCAACCTTATCTCAGACTTGCCCAAGAAAATATTATCGCGTATATTTTTTTTGTTCCGTCTAATCTACTCTTCGAAAATATAATTATCGCAATACAAGATAATGCATAGACCACCCCCTTCCCCATCACTCTAATTACATTTTATGACTCAAAACTAGCGTTGTTAAACGGGTCGATTTGAGCCGATTTTTAAGAAAACGGCTAACTCGATATTTTAGCCCTGAAAAATATTGTTTTAAGCCCCGAAATTTGGTTAATAGATTGTTCAGACCGTCGTGTCACCTATGATCAGAATCTTAAGGCTTGCATAATATTTTTCCTTATAAAATATAGAGTTGGCTGTTTAACAACACTACTCAAAACCGATATATTATAGAAATGATTGTGAACCATATTTTCGGAAACCGTTAAAAATGCCAAGAGAAATACATTTACTCTTTTTTAAATTTTTTTTAATCTTCATTAAATTCCCCCAAAAAAAAGAAATATCAGAACTTACACGATTTTAAAATGCATTTAGCCACCTGATTTAAAGAAAAATACAAATTTTCTCGTAGTGTTGTTAAACTACCTCACTTTAGTCAACTATAAAACAGCGTATCCATGTTTTTATTCAAAAATATTCGAATCAATCTTCAAGTTGAGACTCTACTTAGAAGCTTAATTCAATTTTTAATGCTAGCCGCAATAGAGATGGCCAAAGTTTAGTAATTTAAGAACACCTATTTAAACAAAAAATTATTGAATGTTTTTGGGAAGGCACAAATTTTATGATACCTCCATCCACATTTATTAAAAGGTTATATTTTATCTCCCCCCCCCTCCAAAAAAAATAAATATTCTATCTACAAAGCTTCGGTCAACTATTTCGATCTTCTTCTGACACAATTCGGCAACGTCTCTAAAGCTTTCGAGCTGGACGAAAGGGCAGGTAACTTTAAAACTTATTTTTTTTGAAATTTTATTTAAAAAAATTAGAATTATAAGGTAAAGCTAGGGAAATTCTAGTGGCGGGGGAGGGGGGGAGGGTGGTTAGAGGATGCTTAGGTGAGGAATATTATATTTTATCGCATATTCCTGTATGTTTCCACCCCAATTCTTAGGATAAAAGCCTTGCATCGGACCCGGTTTTGAAAGAATTATTTTCAAGTCTGTATCCGATAACTCCACCCGAATTTTTTTTTAAATCGTGTCCTTTCCGAAGATTTTATTTTTTTTTATGAAAACTAACACCGACTGTTTAAAATAATGGAGGCGACCTCAATAAGAAAGATGTTATGAAAACATTTTAAAGAAAAAGTTTAAAAATTGTACTTGAAATGTATTTGTCAAAAAACAAGTTTATTGTGTCTATCTCATCTTCTATAATATTTTCCAAGTAATTTAAATTTAA